CAGCCCTACCCATAGGGCCCAGCTCCTTCCTCTGATGTGGCCTCCTGCTGCCCGAGTCTAGGCTGATCCTCATGGTGCCCGCCTGCCCACTCCTGGTTCCTGTGGCTACATAGTGCCAAGAGGCTGGAGCCAGGACCAAGCCAACTGTAGCAGCCAGGCTTAGCTGAGTCTCAGTGTTTTGACTTCCTCATCCACCATAACAGCTGGAGACTTAAAGCTTCATCTGCCAGATGTTTAGGTGGGCGCCACCCACTTCCTGGACATTGCACACTAAAGTCTAGTTTGTCCCAGATACCAAGAACTGTGGGAACTATGTCTTTGATGCCAGATCACCTCTGTCACTGGGGAATTGTCTGGAGCTCCTGAGCAGCATAAGCATCCTGGCTCTGGGGGACATCCACCCACTCAGGGACCACCGTCATCTGGATTCAAGGCAAGGAGGACCTCCCCTGACAGCTGAGCCATGATAAATCTCATATGCTACCCTCCCTGGAGGCCCAAAACTGTATGGAATGTGAGGGGACAGACACACTGACACCAAGAGACAATCCTGTCCCATCCCTGCTCTTGGCTGTGCACCCAAAACTAAAGCTGGTGGTGAGCATGGTGCAGCTCACACTGTCTGAAAGCCCGTCACCTCTCTCTCAGCTCTGCACAGTTTGCTGGACAGCTACAGGGGATGTGCCAAAGGGGGCAAGCTGAGGCCTGTGGTCCGGGGACTACTAGTCTGCGTATTTAGCATCATCACTGGCTGCCTGGTGGGGGTCACAGGCCTATTTTGAGAATCTGGGCAGAACGTGAATTTGCTTACTCTCACTGTTGGCTCCAGTCAGCATGCTCCTTAGATAGCTGCTGGCTATCCTGGTGAGACACAGGTCCTTGTCTGTCCATGTAAATCGTCTGTTGGTGGGAGGTGACTCTCGGAGCCTGTCTGGAGGAGGCATCCAGGGTGGGCAGAGAGGAGCAAACACTTCACAGGAGTCCCAGGCATCTGGGGAAGTGGAAGAGTGCCCACCCAGTAAAGAACCATGTGAAGAAGTGCCAGCCAGTTAGCTCATATGTGGCCCACATGGACCAGGAGATACTCCACAATCTACATAGATAGGCCAGAGCCACTTCCCTGAGGTCACCCTGACCAGTGGTGTCTTCCCCTTGAGATATGCCGCCTTTCTGCACAGCACAACCTGCAGGACTCTGGTCATGCTTGAATGCTTCCTTGTAGCTCAGTGGAGCCTGGGTCCCTGGGTAGGAAGTGTCAGAGAGCCCAGGCTAAAACCAGAGCCACTCAGGGCTCTTTGTGCTTCAAATACTTTTTTTATGGTCAAGAACTTCATGTTTTAGAAAAGAGAAGAAACCATGACTTTCTAGTATACATTTGACATTTCAGCCAAGTGTTGGTAGTGCATGCCTTTAATCCCAGCAGACGCAGGGATCTCTGTGAGTTCAAGGCCAGTCTGGTCTACAGAGCTAGTTTCAGGACAGGCTCCAAAGATACATAGAGAAACCCTGTCTTGAAAGTGAGTTTGATATTTCAGGGTATTCACAGTCAATCTTGGATGGCACACAGATATCTTTGTAACTTCCACGTTAAGGTAGAATCCACACCATGGAAACATGAGCTTCTCTGTCTCTTCAGAATCGTTGGCCTGTGCAACTGTAGGTTCCCACAGCTCTGGAGTCACTGAGGGTAGATATGTTTTTATTAGTACCGTTAATGAAACCTTGTGCATGTGGGGTAAGTGTTCTGCTGCTGTTTGTCTGTTGCTGCTGTTTTTGAGACAGTCTTCTGTAGCCCAGGATGGCCCCAAACATTCTGCATAGCCAAGGATGTCCTTGACTTCTGGTCCCCTTCCTCCATATCCCCATCCCTGTGCTGGGATTATAAGCATGGGTAAACATTTGATTTATGATGCTAGAATTGAACCCAGGACTTCATACTTGTTCCTACAGGCAGTCTGCTAATTGAGCAAAAATACCCAACCCAAAATATTTGGTTGTTGCACTGTACTGAGCACATAACACTGTTTTTCTTGTTCCCCTAGTGGCAGCATAGCCTCACCTACCAGTGACATTGAGTTAGATCTCAGGAGTCATCTAGAGACGGGCCAAGTGCACAGAGGACGGGGCAGGCTGTGCGTGAACTCTGCTGTGTTCTGTATGAATACGGCATCAGGTTTGGGAAAGGGTCCTGGAAGGGTCCCCTGAGGATGTTGAGAGGGCCGCCATGGTCCTGTCATCTGCTCTCTTATAGTCTTCATTCTCTTACAGGATCATTTGTTTAAATTTGTTTGTGGTTTTTAGAAATTTTCCTGTGTTAATATCTCTTTTGAATGTATAAACTTTGTATAAGCATCAAAAAAACTCAGAAAAGCAAAGTGTCAAAGGATGTGTTTAGACAAGTATTTTCATCTCTGTTACACTGTTGTCTTCTTGTTCTTTTGTTTGTTTTACCTGAGACAGGATCTGCAGTGAGCTCTGGCTGGCCTGGAACCCTTTCTGCAGCCTTGGCTGGCTTGGAGCTTTCAGTGATCCTCCTGTCTCATCTGCCTGAGTACTGTGGTGGCACACGTGTGTCACCGCATCCGCTCTCTCTCCTTTCTATAGACACTGCTCTTAGTCTTTTCATTGATTTCTTTGGCGCGCGTGTATGGCTGCACACATATGTGAATGCACCCCGTCTTTACAAGGGGGACACTAACTCTGCACTGGAGACTTTTATATCTGTCCTGTCTTTAAGGCCCCTCAGGTGGCGTCAGGAGTTCCTCTTGTCATCGGCATCAGGGCTGCTTGTGCTGAAATTCAAACACATACGTCAAGTGTGGTGGTTGGTCTCCTGTGAAACCTGTGCCTCATCTTGTCTGGGTCCCTTTTATAGATGGGACCCAGACAAGATAGATAGAACATTGAAGTTCACAAGAAAAAGACTGGTCTTTCTGCACAGAAAGACTGGTGAGCAGGCAGCACCTTGGGAAGAAGCTGTCCTGCCAGCTCTCCAGAGAAGAAAGGGGCCAGGGAGTACTTTAAGAAATCCTTGAAGGGGGCAAGAAGGTTAAGGTGATCAGGACCTGGCACTGAGGAGGTCAGAGGCTGTGGCCAGGGAAGGAACTGGTGCCCAGGCTAGCCCCTCAGTCGTCAGTGCCTCACCCACATTGGTAGCCTTTCTATCTTCATTCATGAGGGGCTGTCTCTTGGGTTACCCCCAGAGCCCAAGTTGTCTCAGCATTGGCTGTAGGAGCAACCCTCCTCTGCACTGTTGTACATGAAATACTATGTAGCCTTGTCTCACTAAATACAGAGCAGTCACGGCTAGGGAAGCTCATGGTAGTAAGCTTGCCAGACGTGTGAGACCCTGGCTTCCATCCAGCACTGTGAAACAGACAAAACAAGACCAGCAAGCAAAGGAGTGAAAGAGTAGGTGTTGTGGAAAGGTGGTCTGTGGATGTAGACAAAAGACAATCAAAGGGACAGGTGACCCAGGTTAGTTGGGGCCCATTGGATGTTGGTGACCACTGTAGGCCCTGCCACCTGGGCCTGTGTGGCCCTGAATGCAGCCTCTATGTAAAGAGGCCATACCTAGGCAGGGGCCCTGAGCATGGACTGGAACATAGCTCTGAAGTCTTCACTTCACTCTATTCAGTAAGCCATTAGGTGTCCCTTAGAAGAGGCCTAGGAAGGAGCTGTGTCATGGAGTCAGGCAAACCAGGCCTGGTGTCGGGACAACACAGCCAAGAAAAGACAGATGTCTGTGGCACCATTCCCCTCCAAGAGAGGAATGGCCTGGCTTCTCCTGATTCTGAAACCAGAGCCATACTGGTTTGGGGACAGGGGTGTGGAAGATTCTAGAGTTTGGCCCTTTCAAAGTAATTGTCAAGCTACAGTTGTGTCAGAGGGGTCTGATCCTTACCCATGTTTCAGAGCAGCACCCGAGAGAGACACCATCTTCAGTGGATGGTACCCACAGACACTAAAGTGTTCTGCATGGCACGAGGTTTTGTGGGTACCTACAGGGTTAGTAGTTGTCATAATTACCAAAGGACATTGATAGAATCCCCTCCTTGAGCCGGAGGCTGTTAGAGTCCCCTCAGTTCCTACTCCTCTGCAGTCAGGCTTTTGAGTTTCTAAGTGGCCATTCTGAGAAATTGTTTTTGTTTGTTCATTTGTTTTGTTATTTTATTTTGTTGTTCATTTTGTCTTTTGGAGACTGTCTTGTGTGGTTGTCTAGACAGCTTTATACTTCTGTACTCAAGACATCTTGCCTCAGCCTTTCAAAGTAGCTGGGATCCTAGGTCAGCCATAGAACCCAGCTCTGAGATGTTTGCCAGATCATTTATTGATTCACTGGTCTATATATTGTACAGGAACTCAAACCTGGGCCTGGTATCTACTTGGTCTGCTGCTGAGCTATATTCTCAATCTTGTTCTAGAAACAGGTTTTCTCTGTGTAGTCCTGGCTGTCCTAGAACTCACTCTGTAGACCAAGCCGGCCTCAAACTCACAGAGATTCACCTGCTTCTGCATCCACCCTCCAGTGCTGAATCAAAGGCTTGCACCTCCATGCCCAATCAGCTCTACTTTTTATTTTTTTTATTTTATTTATTTATTTTCTATTTTAGACAGAGTGTCTGGCCCTGAACATGCCACCTGCCCAGCCTTTCAAGAGCTGGGATTTCATGTATGTGCCACTACATCTGGTTGAAATATTTTCAATAAAAGGAACCCACGTCAAAATTGCTAACCTAGGGGCTGGAGAGATGGCTCAGAGGTTAAGAGCACTGGCTGCTCTTCCAAGAGGTCCTGAGTTCAATTCCCAGCAGCCACATGGTGGCTCACAACCATCTGTACTGAGATCTGGCTCCCTCCTCTGGCGTGCGGGCATACATCAAGGCAGAATGTTGTATACATAATAAATAAATAAATCTTTTTTAAAAAAAAGAAAATTTGGCATATTTAAAAAAAATTTGCTAACCTAAATCTTTCAGCTTTCTCTGTTTTTCCTTAAGGGCGAGTTCCGGAAACCAGAAATCTGAATCTGGAGAAGGCTGGTGTGAATATCAACCCTGAGAATCAGAAGATTGTTGTGGATGCCCAGGATGCCACGTCCGTCCCCCACATCTTTGCCATTGGAGATGTTGCTGAGGTATGCTCTACATCTGGCCAACCACTGCCACCAGAAACTCCTATATCTGTGCTCCCCTATTTCAGACGGATCTTGAGGTGAACATGATGGAGGCTCTGTTGTCCACAGGAAAGAGTTCAGGCAGGGCTGTACTCCTCAGTACCTTCTAGGAGGTTACTTCCTGCCTCCTCTCTGCTGGGCCTGGGTGGTCCTTGGGTCTCAGCTCTGTCCCATCATCACCATAGTCTCCTCCAGGTGCTCTATGCTCTCCTTTGTCTTACAGATTGTCCTTTGTCAAACTTGGGTCAGTATATTACACACAAACCCATTTCCAAATAAACTCACATTATAAGTAGGTATGATTTTTTTTGGTTGGGGGGGGCACTGTTCAACCCTCCCTGTACATGACTGTCGCATCACTAGTTCCCAAGAGCACTAGGGACACTGCAGGAGCATGCCCTATGGAGGGACCTCATAGGCTACCGTAGAAGGTACCCTCCGGCCCTGTGACTGAAATTCAGGTATGTGACTCTCCCAGAGGGCCAGACTCCCACTTCTTCCAGGAACAAGGCCTCGCAGACGGCAGTTCCGAGGAGGACTGCATGAAAAGCTCCATGGGGCTTGCTGTCCAGTCCTCTTCTTCTTGGTCATTTTGCCATCTATATGCACACACACCACACATGCACACACAGAGACATACACATGCACACAGACAGACAGACAGACACACACACGTTTGTTTTATATGCCTGGATGTATATCTGTGCACCACATGTGTGCCTGGTGCACATGGAAACCAAAAGAGCCTTCATATCCAGGCATCATATCCAATTCCATATTCCTGGAACTAAAGTTACAAACAGTTGTTAGCTGTCACGTGGGTGCTGAAACCCAGGTCCTCTGGAAGAGCAGCCAGTGCTCTTAACCACTGAGCTCTCCCTCCAGCCCCTCACGATACTATCTAAATGAGGCTCCAGCCACAAACCTGGGTGGTGTGGTTGCTTGACTCTGCCTGTGGTTGGTTTGGAGCTTCTAGTCTCTGGCTGTTGGCTTCAACTTTGTCTTGTGAGCACTGCATCCTGTGACAGCACCTGTGTTCACACAGAAGAGTACCATGTGTGTCTCTGCACCCTAGGGTCCAGTGCTGTGTTGCCACCAGCATGTGGCACACAAAGGCCTTCTTTCTTTTAAAAATTCACGACATGTTTAAAAGATCATTGCAAGCAATGCAGGTAATCTGACTGCAGTCAGGTCAGGCCCGCGGCTACAAAGAGCCCCAGGGTGAAGTAGTGGTGGTGTATAACGTGCTATGCTGTGCTGTGTGGGGCTGTTTCCTGGGCTCGTCAGGCCTGATGGAATGCATGGGCTGGAAGCCGAGTTTATCTCTGTAGATCTTCACTCATTTTCAGAATGCCAAACAGCATCTGCATTTCCTGCTACAGAGGTGATTGGCAGTGAGGGCCTGGGCTGCTGCAAGCAGGAACACCCGAGGCAAGGTGTGCCCTGAGACAGAGGCGTCTCCTGTGGAATGACACTGATTTGGGATTTGTCATGGATCGTGACATGCATGTCAAACTGTGTGTCAGGAGCACGTGACATGCTTGGGGCCATATGTACTAGACCCTGAGTCATTGGAAACCATGGCAAGGTCTCTTTTGAGCTCTGCCATGAGACCAACACTCTGAGAGCATTGGTGTGACGAGTTCAGAGAAAAGCCTGTGCAAGTGAGAGTAGCGGGGCTATGCCCGGCAGCTCACTTCCTCTTCTAGAGAAAGTGATGATAATGTGGGCATCCTCCTGCAGTAGAATGGAGGGAAGACAGCAGTAATAAGTAAACCCATTGGGGCCCTGGGATTGTCAGTGTGGAAAATTCAGCCTTGCATGCTGCAGATGTCCAGATCGTCACAGCTTGTAAAAGTGTCCACACCCTCACAGGTCATGTCTATATCCTTGTTGCTCATGTCTACATCCTCAAAGCTGGGGGCACAGTACTGGGAGTCTTGAACAGGAAGGCAATGGGTGGTGGTATAGCGTCTGTACAGGCTGCCTGGAACATAGTGCTATTGTGTTCTTCCCTCAGGGGCGGCCTGAGCTGACACCCACAGCTATCAAGGCAGGAAAACTGCTGGCTCAGAGGCTCTTTGGGAAATCCTCAGCCTTAATGGATTACAGCAACGTGAGTTCCTTTAGGACCCAAATCCAACCTGGGAAAGGCTTGGCGCTGAAGGGTTCATTTGCACCATGTGCCTGCGTGTGTGTGTGGTATGTATGTACACATGTATTTTACATGCATGCGTATGTACACGTGTATGTGCATGGGTATATAGGTACATGTGAGTGTGTGCACATATGAGCAGGACACAGTCCTTGGGGGCCATATGAACCAGATCCCTAGTCATTGGGAGCTCTGTCATGGCAGAAGCACATCGATGTGACGGGTTCAGAGAAAAGCCTGTGCCAGTGACGGTATTGGGGCTCTGCCCGGTAGCTCATTCCCTCTTCTGGAGAAAGGGGTATATGTGGTTTGGCTCCTGGTCCAGTCCAGGAACAATGAGTGGCCACCTGCTGTGCTCGTGTGTGGCTGGGTCCCTGGCCTCAGATTACTACTCATGTGTCACTGAGGGGATACAGTTTCAATTTGGGGGACCCAAGAGGCCTATCTGATTCCAGACCTACTTTCCAGGTTCCCACGACTGTCTTTACGCCATTGGAGTATGGCTGTGTGGGGTTGTCTGAGGAGGAGGCCGTGGCTCTCTATGGCCAGGAGCATGTAGAGGTAGGAGACTACCAACAAGAGGGCCTGGATGGCCGCTCGCCACAGAGCTCCTCGATGAGGTGGAGGTCTGGGAAACAGGGGCTACTTCTGGGGCTGCTCCTGGCAGAACACAGTGTGGAGCCTCCATAGGACAGGAGTGTTGGGCAGCTCCAGAAACAAGGGGAGTCAGAAGCCTCTGGCAGCTTCAGTGTGTACTAGACGCACTGTTGAGGTTCCTAGCCTCCAGCCCCACCCCTAACTATGCCGTATATATTAGATGTGATGTTGAGGTTCCTAGGATTCCCATCAGAGCCTCAGCATGCAGATAGTTTCTCAGTCCAGTGCTGCTCTGCAGGGTACTCCCCCAAGGTGTCCTCTGACCTGCTGTCTACTCCATCCTATCTTCTTGCCCAGGCTGGCCCACGCCTACCCACCTGCACCTCCACCTTTCTGGGATTCTCAGGAGGTTTCCAGTGGATAAGACACTCACATTCCCAGCCCAAATTCTGTCCTCTTCCCAAGTTTGTCTAGAGACTACAGGCCCAGTGACCCTGACTGGAACCTTCATCCTAAGCAAAGGGGTTTCCACTGGACCGGAGCACTTTTGGGAGTCTGCAGTGACAGCAGGCTTTGGCCCCTGGGTGCTTTCAGAGTAGACTGAGGTATCTGGAGGCTCTGAAAGCTTCCAGGTAGTGGAAGCTGGAGGACTTTGGTGTAGGTCTTTCTGTAGCAGCAGCTTGCAGGCCGAGAGGCCCGGGTCACTAGGCTATGGCGTCTGCCCGCTCCATGTACCCGGGCCCCTCCATCATGGAGACAGGCCTGACAGGCCTGCCCTCCCAGCACTTTATTTGCTATTTTTGTTAGATTCATCATAAGTACACTGGGACATGTGTTCATAGCATTTATAATGCTTTGTGTTTCATGATGTTGAATGGCCAAACATTCTTGTTTGTTTTTTTTCCAGTTCTGTCTTGCTTAGAACAATATTCTCTGAAGCCCTATTAATTAGTAATGGCTGTGTAGCACATGTGGGGCCCTGCTCATTTTTTATATGGCTACAGCTCTGAACACACTGTCAAGTCCTTCATGGGTGCTGAAAGCCCTTGTTCCACAGCTCCAGTGAAGCTGGGGCCTGCCTTGCCCCTCCACAACCCTGCACCAACCCCTCCTTTTAGCTGAAGTTTAGGCCAAGTCAGCACTAGGGTGTCTCAGGGAGGCCAGGCAGTCATCTGAGAGCTATTCCTGCTCACATGGGTAGGATGGGCACTCCTGCACCAGCGACTGGCCTGAGGGCTCCCTGTCCAGTCTGCTTAGGTCTTGAGGAGGCCTGGATCTACCTCTTGGGGATGCCTGATTACCATGCTCAAACCCTGGCCTCTGTGTTAGCAGTCTGATGTCTGCTCCTCTGCTGTAGTTCAGTGGGGAGTCTTAGATCCAGGCAGGAGAGCCTCTGTCTGCAGACTCCATGGCTATGGGTGCAGGCTGCCTGAACACAGGAGGACATACTCTCTACAACCAGCATGGTGTTTCCACACCTTGAATGTCTGAGTCCCTGAGAATCCTGCCTTCCCAGTACTTTTTTTGTTGTTGTTGTTGGATCCAATACTATAGGACTGTCTTGGATATGGCCAGTGATTCAGGTGCTGGTGTCTTGTCACCCAGGTTTACCATGCATATTATAAGCCCCTGGAGTTCACTGTGACGGATCGAGATGCATCACAGTGCTACATAAAGGTGAGTGTGCTTAGGCTAGCAGTAGGGTGCACTGGGACTAGAAGGGAAAGCTAGTGACCGCAGGGAGTGCCCCCTTTTCCCATGTGACAGAGTACCTGCAAAAGCAACTTAAGGAAGGGTTTATTTTGTCTCAAGTAAAAGGAATGGCTTGTGTTTGGGTCAGGAAGCAGAGAGATGGACACTGGTTCTCAGCTCACAATCTTTTTTATGCAGTCTGAACCCCAGCCCATGGAATGGTGCTGCCCATAGTTATAATTAACCCAATGTAGAAACTTCCTCAAGAGTTTATAAAATTGGCAGTAATACTAACTACCATGAATGGAAACCTCTGAGGACATAGCAAGTTCCAATGGCTGGGTGGGTTTCCTGTGGCTAAGTGACGTCAAAATCACTGTGGCTTTCAGATGGTGTGCTTGAGAGAGCCCCCACAGCTGGTACTGGGCCTGCACTTTCTTGGCCCCAACGCTGGAGAAGTCACTCAAGGATTTGCTCTGGGGATCAAGTAAGTCATTTGGCATCCTGGCCATTTTGTGCTGTAGCCACTTCCCTGCCTGCACAGTTCTGTTTGTTGTTTTCACAGTAGTGGAAGCTGCTGTGTTCACATTTCTGGGGGAGGGGGTGTACACGTCTGCAGTGGGCATTCTTCAGACTGCCCCAGGCATGGTGGTCACAGCAGGAGAGGGACTTTCTCTAGCCAAAGGTCCTAAACAGGGATGGTTGCAGCCCTGGGGCATGGCCAAAATGAATGAGGATGAGCCCTCAGTCCCCGAGCCTTCTACTGTTCACTTTTGTTTCTATTTCCTGTGAACTGTCTGTTGTTATTGTTGTTTTGTCTGTTCCCCTCTCCCTGAGGATTTTCTGTGTATCCCTGGCTGTCCTATAACTGGCCCTGTAGACCAATTGGTCCCAAACTTAGAGATCTGCCTCCCTCTGCCTCCTAAGTGCTGGGATTAAAGTGTGTTCCACCACTTTAATTATTTCTTTGTATTTCTGTGGTTTGTGCTATGAAGCTACAAGAGCTCTTTGCATATTAAGGAAATCAATATTATAAAGATGTTTAAAAGACCATCATTTAAAATACGTTCAGAAGCCGGGCAGTGGTGGCGCATGCCTTTAATCCCAACAGAGGCAGAGGCAGGCTGATCTCTGTGAGTTCAAGGCCAGCCTGGTCTACAAGAGGAAGTCCAGGACAGGCTCCAAAGCTACAGAGAAACCCTGTCTTGAAACCCCCTCCCCCCCCAAAAAAAAGATGTTCAGAAATTCTTCTCAAAACTGAATTGTTGGCCGGGCGATGGTGGCGCACGCCTTTAATCCCAGCACTCGGGAGGCAGAGGCAGGCGGATCTCTGTGAGTTCGAGACCAGCCTGGTTTACAGAGCTAGTTCCAGGACAGGCTCCAAAGCCACAGAGAAACCCTGTCTCAAAAAACCAAAAAACAAACAAACAAACAAAAAAAAAAGCTGAATTGTTGGGCAATGAATCTGCATTCAGAACAGTAAGGGGGGGGGCTGGAAAGATGGCTCAGATATTAAGAGCACTGGCTACTCTTCTGGAGGTTCTGAGTTCAATTCCCAGCAAACACATGGTGGCTCACAATCATCTATAATGAGATCTGGTGCCCTCTTCTGGCATGCAGTCATACATGCAGGCAGAACACTGTGTACATACATAAATAAATAAGTCTTAAAAAAAAAAAAAAAACAGGGCTAGAGAGATGGCTCAGCAGTTAAGAGCATTGCCTGCTCTTCCAAAGGTCCTGAGTTCAATTCCCAGCAACCACATGGTGGCTAAGACCATCTGTAATGAGGTCTGGTGCCCTCTTCTGGACTACAGGCATGCACACAGACAGAATATTATATACATAATAAATAAATGTTTTTAAAAAAAAAAACCAAAAGCCCAGTGAGTGGGAATGCACAGTGGGACGGCCCTATCTCATTAATCCTAGGGCCCTCCCAGGCCAGGCTGATGTGGATGCCCTGCCTACCATCCTCCATGGTAGACACTGCCCACATGCTCTCCAGCAGGATGCTCAGGATGCTCATGGGTCCTACCTGGACTGGACTGCATGTGATGACTCTGCTGCAGATCTCCTAAAGACCACAGCTGCATATTCCAAGGATACAAGCTCGCCGGGGACCTATGTTTCATGCTTGGGTGAACCTTAGCACCAGCTATTGCCCTGACACATTTGTAGGCCAGGTGGGCCTATGGCTTGCTGTCGTATAATAGGCGTGGCTCTGGCCCACACCTGTTTCACACACACAACCCTTCAACATGTTGGTCCTCCTATTCCTCTGCTGGAATTTCCTCTCTGTTCTCCCTTGTCCCTAGACCTCCTACCCGCAAGGCCCAACTCTTGGCCACACTCAGGTGCTCCCAGCCCTCTGGGGACCCCGATGTCCACACACCCTCCTCCTACCCACCTTTCTCTATGCCTTCTCACTTCTGCATCCTCCAGAGTTCGTGAATCCATGTACATGCCACATGCATACACATGTGGAGACACACAAAACAAAACAGAAACTCATGCAGCTGTAGCCCAGGACTCAGCACACAGCCACACTGAGCTCTTTCCCAGTCCTCTCAAGCCCTGGAGTTTGACCTTCAGCAGCTAGGCTGGGGCACCTGGGTGGAGGCCAGGCTGATCACCTCCCTTCATGCACTTACTCTGGGTAGGCAAATGCCACCACAGAACAGCCAGTTCCCTGCCTTGTGTTTGGATGCCATGCATCCGTATGGAAATGTCTGAGCAGAAGAGCTGAGTAGGTGGGTGTAGGCTGCAGTCAAAAGTGGCTGGGGTGGGCGACTCCTGCCACACCTTGACAGCGGTAGAGCAGCCTTGAGGAAAGGGCAGTTAGGACAGAGAGAGAACAGAGCAAGCCAGGGGAAGACTGGCTAGGAGAGCCTGAGGTGGGTAGCAATGTGGCAATGTGGGTAGTGGGTGTTTGCTGGGAGGCAGTGGGAAGTCCAGCATAGGCACAGTCTTAGTGCTGACTTGGTAAGGAAATTACAGGCCTTCTACCGTCTTCCCAAGGTCAGAGTGGTGTGGACAGACCTCCCCATACTGACCACTTACCATCCTGCTCTCAATGTATGCAGATGTGGGGCGTCATATGCACAAGTGATGCAGACAGTGGGGATCCATCCCACCTGCTCTGAGGAGGTGGTGAAGCTGCACATCACCAAGCGCTCAGGCCTGGAGCCCACTGTGACTGGATGCTGAGGTTAAGCCACCATCCCTGCCAGGCTGAGGGCACACACTATGCCATGTGCCCAGTACAAGGCTCCTCGGACACCTGGGTCTAGGTGAGCAGGCTTGAGAAGAGCATTTGTGGCTAGAGTCTTGGGAGCCACCATGACAGGCATGATACCAGGTAAAACACGTGCAGGGGCTTCCCACAGGCTAGATTCTCACAGCATCTCCTAGGCAGTGTCAAGTGTTGTTCCCTGTGTGCCGTTTGTCCCTGCGGTGAGCACAAGCTCCGGCTCATTTTCTTCCTGCCCAGAAGGTGGAGATACTGCCTTGTACACAGCTGACTGACCCACCCATGGCTCTGCTGTAGCTCTGTAGAGCCGGGCTGGCCTCCTGCCCCTGCCGTGTCACCTCTCAGTCTGACAGCGCCTTCCAGAAGCCCCAGTCCTTGAGTCTGCATGCTACAGCCCATCCTGGGATGTCTGTCTTGGCTGTCACCCCTTCTTGTTCTGAGCCCTTGGAAACCATTCTCCTCACTGAAGTTTAGGGGGAGGTTCTAGAAAGAGTTCTTTCCCGCTCAGGACGTCCCCTATCTGGTCTGAGAGACCTAGCAGGAGCTTTCAATACATCCAGTGGGCGGCGAGTCTGGCTGGGGGGCCTTGTCTGGGCGCCTTGTCTGGGCATTCTGACACCAGCTCCACCACAGCTTCCCAGCGCCACGGCTGCATTTGACAGAGAGCGCTCTAAGGAAGCTCTTACCTTCTGTTTTTCTTTTCTTTTTTTCATTAAGAGCCCAGTATACATTTTGATCAAAATATTTTTTTGTAGAAACTGCAGTATTCTCTCTAATAAACCAATCTGGGCAGGGTCGGGGGTGGAGAGCTCTCTTCAGGTTTTTTTTTTTTTCCAAACCATCTCTCAAGGATCTCCTGTGGTTTGGGGTGACATGGCTAGGCCAATGTGAGGCTTGCTGACCCCACCTGTTATTGGCAGGACTGGAAGGCTTTGCCGCTTCCTCAGAGGTCCCAGAAGATGTGGATAGAGCACCGTGTCTGAGTAAATGGCCATGTGTCCTGCAGGGATGACGCCACACTTACACCCTCTGGACAGCCTTCCCACCCTCCAGCGCCAGGTGATGACGGCCTGTGCAGAAACCCCACGTGGGCTGCTCAGGTTTGAGACCCTGGCATTTCTGGAGCACCAATAAAGAGGGTGTTTTTCTAAAGCATGTCTGCTTGTAGTGTCCCCAGAATTGCCCAATGTCACATGGTAATAGCGTCCAATCAGGATCTGCTGCCACCAGAACCATAATACACAGAGCCACAGTGTCTTAGATCTAGAGTTACCAGCAGCCATTAGGAGGAACAACCCTGACCTGACCCTTCTGGTCCCTCTCCACCATCCTCAGCCTCCCTTCAGCTACTGGCTCAGGTCTCAAGACATCATTCTAGAGATCCCTCCTGGACTTTCTGCTAAGGTCACCCCTAAGGTCTCTGTGTACATAGCTCCAGAGGTCATCAAAGGTCAGGAACAGGAGGAAAGGGTTTGTCAGGGTTGTTTGAGGTTTCCTGTCTGAACTGAACATTGCTCGCCTCCTTACTTTCTACTGTGGCCCGAGTCAGCTTGTGGACTGGTTTTGGCTAATCCTCCACATTGAAGCTTGGATGGGCCAGGGAGCACCTGTCAATCACTGCAGGGAGAGACAGCCCTGACAGGGAGGGGCAGAGCCCTGCTTTCTGCGAGGCTTTAGCAGAGGCTAATCTCCCGTCTTCCTTAAGAAAACATCACTTAGCCTGGCCCCGGGAGCCTTGGATGGGACCCTGCTTGTCAGCCAACAAAGGAATGTGTTTGCACCTTAATGGGCCTACCCAGAGCCTGACTCAAAGTGGAAGTGTGCAGGGTGCTCTCAGACGCCCAATTAAGATGCCAAGTGCTGGGCTGGCCCCGCCCTCCTGACAAGTGCAGGGCCAGATCAGCCATGTCCTATTTAATGCACCACTGGTGGCACGCCCCAGCCTGCCAGGATCCTGGGGCGTGGTTGGGGGACCGGGTGTTCCTCTAGCTTGAGGTTTTGTCTGCCTTGGAGGCAGAGAGGTCAGCTAACACCTGCTGCCTCAGGCCAGTGAGTTGGGAAGACTCTGGGGCCTGACCAGGTATACCCGTGGGACCACTGAGGGAAGGTTCTAGGCCTTTATGTCTTACCAGAGTACTGGCCTGCCTTTGTGGTCTCCTGAACCTGTCCGTGGACCCCATAGCTAGGCCAGTGTGTGCAGCTGCACTAGCTGGCCCCAAAGGTAGGGCCTACTTTTATACCTTCTTCCCAGAGTAGAATTTGCATCAGGGTACTTGCCTCTGAAGTCTTTGTCTTAGTCTGTGCCAGCCTCTAGGAGAGTCCAGACATCCAGAAATCTGTGTTCTATGTGTCTTCAGGTCTTAGCTCCCTTTGCACTCCTAGAAAATGCGAGCATGTCTGGCCAACTCACAAGCAGTGAGTGTTGCAGAGAAAAGATTTCCACAGGGATGCGCTACCACCCAAGCTACTTTTGGTGATGGCCAGTGTAATCCCCCACATTGGCCTAGCTATGGGGCCCAGGGGCAGGTTCAGGAGACCTCATAGGCTGCCCAGTGCTCTGGTGAGACCTGACTCCAGAGCACTCAGTCGGCTGTGGAGCCATGGGGCAGAGTGCACAGACCAGAAGCAGGCAGTCCCCATGGGGCAGTGTGCACAGACCAGAAGCAGGCAGTCCCCGTGGGGCAGTGTGCACAGGCGAGAAGCAGGCAGTCCCCATGGGGTGGTGTACACAGACCCGTGACTACCACTCACTACTCACTCAGGGCTGCTCTGCCCTGTGCTGAAGGCAGGGCCAGTGCTAAGGAGCAGGACCCATGGGTGAGCTACATCAGCAGTGGAATCTGTCCTGTCTAGCTGCAAGATCACTGCAGGGCCAGTCCCCTCTCTGGACCAGAAAATGCAACAGGGCTAGAATGCCCCAGGGCCAGGTGCTCACCAACCCAGGACCAGGTGCTCCCCTGGGCCGCCTCTTCTCTGCCTTTGCATGCTTTTATGATGCAATGAAAATATGTTTTTAATTCCTCAGATTGTTCCATGTAACCTGCAATTACCCCCGGCAATACTTTACACACCTCTCCTTGTGGCTTTGGATTGCGCAAGGACATGGGAAGGAAAGGAGTTGGTAGGAGCTCCCTCCCTGCCTGCCTATCCTGGGCAGTAGAACGGAGTGCCCATCTCCTAGCACCTTACCCTCTCCTCACTGTCCCCACTTCATGCTGTCCAGAGATCCCTGTGCAGCAGGCACAGAGAAAGGTGCTTTTGAGGGTCAGACTGAGGGTACAGTAGTGGAGGACAGAGCCCAGCAAGGCTCCGAGAGGGTTCTGAGGCAAACAGCAGAGGATAGGGAAGGAGCTATCTGTCTTAGAGTAGCAGAGTGGCTGAGACTGCAGCATACACCCCCATTCTGCATATCACAGACCCCTCTGGGGACCTTACCTCTGCTCAGCTGGCAGCAGGGACCGGTCCCTACTGTGCTCTGCTGGCAGTGGAGGTTGTCTCTCCTGGCTGGGCACCCTTGCCAGCAAGTAGACTTGCCTGTGAGAAACAGCAGTGTCTGCCCGAGGCCTCAACCGTGGGCTTGTGCCTGAGATCCACATTTTTGTCTTTGCTACCTTGGCATATGACTAAATTTCACAGGTAGCCACCTCAGCAGTGGTGTCCAAACAGAACCCAGTGAATGGGACCCTGGCCCCAGTGTGATGCAGAAACCCCCAGACTAGCACTCACAGACTACATTGTTTTCTGGCCCAGGCTCAGGCTACACTGCTGTGGGCTGCTCCTCTTGTGCTTCCTGAGCTAGGCAAAAGCACAAATAAAGAGATGGAGCCACACACTTGTGCCTTGCTCTCATAGTGGAAGGCAACAGGAGACACTGTAGATCCGACCCTGCTTGTCCCTCAGCCAGGTGAGGGTCTTGTTGGTCTGGCTTCTTCCCAGTGAGATGGGACACTCCCCAGAATTTGCAGACACCTCTATCCTGCCATAGCCATGCCATAGGTTGCTCAGAGCCCTCCCAGACAGGGTAGAGAAAAAAGGAGTTTCCCAGAGAGGCTTGCCCAACCATGACCCAAGATATTCAGGCTGTGAAATAACTGGACAGAGGGTTCTTCACCACAGGGTGCCAAGAGGCCTCTAGGGAACTGGGAGATAGCCCTGAGACATGGGCTGATGGAGGGAAGTTTTGAGCCACAAGCCATCAGGTTCTTATGTGGCTACTCTTTGGGTCTTATTTGTAGCCCACATCCTAACCCTAGCACATGTGACTGGGGTCACGACCCCTGCTTCCAGAACCCATGCTGGCAGGGTGAAGTTTTGCCAGTGACTGAAAACAGCAACGGGCATGAGTTTCCACTGGTGCCACACACAGATCCTTAGGAAGGAAACTGCAGTCACACTCACCTGTACACCCAGGAGCTGAAGGTGGTCCCCTGCACCTCTCCATGCGGTGTCGTCACATGCATCCCTGCTATTGCCCACCTGGTGTAGCCAGGTCCACCAAAGATCCAATATTGGTGCTGTCCAGTCTGGATGGGAAGCAGTCCCGGGAAGAGGAGGAACAGGAGGAACATTTAATAGTGACCTTACGACCTTGATGGTGAGCCAGCCAGGGCCATGGCTGCTTACCCATGATCAGCTGCTGGCCCTCACTTTCATGCAGAGCCACCCTGAGCATTCCTGCTGCTGGGACCTGACTTCTGCTACCTCCCCTTGCTGTCCCCTACCCCTTAAGCTCTCCAAGAACTCTCATGTTTCTGGTCCTGCCACCAAAAGGTTTGGGGAGCCCTGCATGTTCTGGTCCACAGCCAAGCACCTGTGGCTCAAAGGCAGTGAGGAGACCTTCACATCTCCCAGGGGCCTCGCAAAGCAACTTAGATCTGAGCCCGCCTAATCTCAGCCCTGCCGTGGTTTATGATACTCAGGTTACCCTAATCCTGAAACCCAAGCTGGGGTCCCAGGAGCCGTCCCAGTGCTATCTGAGGAGCACACACGGCCTTCCCAGTAGGCAGTAAGAGGGCTCCCTTCACAGGCCTTCTGTGTTCAGAGCTGGTCTTCACCAGGGTTAGAGCAGGGTGCTAGGCACTCAGGTTGGATCCGATCCAGATAGGCCCAAGGAGTCACTGAAGTCACCAGACTCAGCGACTGGCAGGGCGAGGCCTCATCTCAGGGAGGAAACTCAAAGCCAGGAGCAAAGGCAACAGGGATGGGTGAGGCAGACCCTGTCCAATCCCCTCTAAGATTTCATGGGACAGCAATTGGGCCTTGTAGTTCCATAAAATTAAATTTTTTTTCTCTCCCAATAAAATTGGATATTTTGGGCTTAAAACTGATGATCAAATAACACCAAATGCTTGGGAATAAAGTGGGACCATAAACAAGATATAGTGTGACCTTGTTACATAGCAACTGGGGGTTGATCACCAGATGGGCACAGCTCCCTGCCCCAGTTGCAGCCCCTGACCCCAGGGCTTTGCACTGACTGTGGGCCTGATACACACCCTGGCACGGGGCAGGGGCACCCTGCTGTCTCTTTTGCTCTACTCTTGTTGGAAAGACACACTGGCCAGGCATGAGGAGAGCACCTGTGTCTCCAGCATCCTTATGTAACTCCCCTACAAGCAGATATAGGTAGTGCCTGCCCCACAAGCATCAAGCTGTGCAATGGCGTGTCCGTATAAAAGCTGTCTGCGTATGGGTTTTCTCCTGGTAGTTTTTATGGGGGCCCTACTTGATGAGTGAGGAAAGCAATTCCCAGCTCTCCCAGTAGTCTCTGAGCTGTGGTGGCAAAGCCAGGACTCAGGCATGTCTGCCCTACTGCCCTCCCCTCCGAGGCCTCGGTACCAGGTCCCAGCCTGAGGGAGAGGGTGGATGGGAGGCAAGGCCTTCAGAAGGCTTCAATGGCTCATTGTTCTGCCTGTGGTGGCTGGAATTGGGCCGACCCATTATAATAATAAAGTTCTAGCGCTCAGCCTGTGGCTGGGTTTCCATAGCTTGGGGAGTATTTAATTTTCAAAGTCTCCGGGAGGGAAGCTGTGTATCAACGGAATTGTTCCCATCAGCCCATTCTTTGCAAGGCCAAGTCTCCTATCCCGTGCCTTCATTCTCTCAGAAGCTGCTGTACCTGTCAGCTCCCCAGTGCCCAGGCATGCCAGGGC